GCAAGTGTAATTTGCTATCATAAACCCCCAAGATCATTTTCCCAAACTTAGGTGTATCATACTCTATCAGCAGCCTTGTTACACATGTAAACATATAGAGGTAGTTTGGTTTTTATTTTGCTAGAAAGGAACATCAGTCTGATGTTGAAAAGCAAAAAACTGGTGTCTTGCTCCTTAGAAAGGGAATCATTTGGATTATTCCCTGTGTTGCAGGGTGTGTTACTCATTGTATTCACACCACTCTTTGTTCCCATTCCCTCAACCTTCTCCACGGTGAAGACTTCTTCTGTGTCACTGGCAGCTAGGATTTTCATACCTGTAGCAATAATGTAACATATTAGAAAGTGGTCTATTCCCTCTTTGTGGGCTTTAACTTGTGGATTAAGCTTGAATCCCCTGATCTCAGATAAGAAACTGGTCTTTGCATTTAGCCTGCAGAGTGTTTAATGAGAAATAGCAGTTCCCATCATCTGTGGCCAAAAGAATCCATTTTATGTGAGGTTTGGGTACGGTGTTGTTTACGAAGCTGGTCTTACCTAAAGCTTAAGTGGAATACTGTTATCTCCATTGGCATAACAGATGGTACCTTTTCCTGCAACTAATTAGCTATGCAGTGCCTCGTCTGCAGGACGGGAAATCCTTGATGCCTCTCTGCTACTACCTCTTCCCCCAGATCTGTGCAGCAACCCCACCACAGACTGTCATGGTTGAGAGCCTGTTAGCCCAACAGAGTCCAGCAAAAAGTGTTCCTGATCTATTTCAGACCTTTGGAAATTTCACAGGTCACTCTTAATTAATCACGAGAGGCTTGCTTGAGCTGTTGCTTGACGCGGGTGGATTTGGCTTACACAGCTGAAATGGGAAGCCTCTAGCACTGGTTGCTGTGAAGACAGGTTAGAGAATCACAGAATCACAGAACGGTTTGGGTTGGAAGGTGCCTTTAAAGGTCATCTAGTTCCAAACCCCCTATAATGCGCAGGGACACCCTCCACTAGATCAGTTTGTTCAGAACCAGGTCCATGGGACATTCACCACCTCTTATGGAATATCTGCAGTCTAGCCAGTGCCTGGTGTGGAGTTTCATGTGAGGTCAGGGATGCTGCTTCCTCCCTAACCCCTCCGGAAATTCTTGGATGTGATGGTAGCCTACCAAAGCCCCTCCCAGATCTTAGAGAAACTGCACTTTCAATGTGTTATCTAAGGAAAGCCTGTAAATGTAGATTTTAAAAGACTTTAGTGCTACAGTTGAGCAACCTGGTCTAGTAAAAGGTGTTCCTGTCCATGGCAGCAGGGTTGAAACAAGATGGTCTTTACAGTCTCTTCCAACCTAAACTTGTGTGATTCTATCCCACAGCAATGTGCCCTGCTATTGAGACTACAACTGAGATACTTAAAAAAAAGTGTGCTGAATTTTCAACCAGAAACATCTGACACCAAAACAGTGGTATAGTTAAGTCTCTGGCTAGCAATGAGGGGAGTGTAATGTCATTTCAAGACCAGGAGAAAATAAATCATAGTGAATAGGAATCTGCCAAGCATGAATTCACTGGGTGCTCTGTAGCAGTCGCCTCAGTTCTCCAGAGTGACACCTGACCTGCCATCATGGTCACATGTTTAGCTTTTGGTGCTTTGCAGAGCTGTATCCTAAACTGGTTTAGGCAGGACTAGTCTTGGTAACCCATCATTGCTACCTGACAAGCACCTAGCAAAGATGGTTAAGTAAGTGCACTGTCCTCAGATAGAATACTCAGCTAAAAAAAATCCCCAAATTAGTCCTAAAGTTATTTTTTGTTATATTGGTTGCAAAATTTGCACCTCTATGCCTTGTACACAAATCCCACAGCTGCAGATGTATGGACGTATATATGTATGTATGTTGTCATCTTCTTGTTCTGTGCATAAGGAGGTGTGGGCATGAGTTAGATGTGATTATTCTGGACAGTGAAACACTTAGAAGTCGATTTGTATTCAAAAAGCTTTGCAGAAAATCTATACTTTTGCACACTGGAAAGAGCATCAGGGTGAATGTATGAACATATGATAATAGTGAGGCCTTAGGTTGAATTCTTATGCACTAAACTCTGACGTGACTTTATCTGAAACTTCGTGTATGTTCATACTGCTGTGGCAAAAAAGTCAGATGGGGAGATCAGAGAGGCATTTGTCAGTTAGAGAAATAAAGCAAAAAGTGCTGATTCTTTCTACTTTTTGAAGAAATTGCCTCACAAAATTAGCAGCAAGCAAACACATGCTAAATATATCAAACACTTATGTTGTCACTATAAGCATCCTACTACAATACTTGATGGAGTAACATATGATTATGGTGACAGAGATTGTCCTGGATTTCTGGATTGGATCCACCCAAACACTCAGGCAAGCAAAGAGCATTGAACATGTCCTGCAATTGGCTTCAATGAAATTACTCCTTAAGAAGAGTCAGAATGTGAGATATTTTATTGGAACTTCCGATGGAAAGAAGATAAACTACTACCAGGAGCCAAAAAAAAAAAAAAGGCATTAAAAACTAGCAGTGTGAGTCCATGTGGGAAATACATATTTGTCATGAATGTTGCTGCACTCATTCTTCCATGAAGAATTACCGACTTCTGAATTGTTGCAATCCAGTCTTCAAACTCCAACACTAGATAAAGGAGCTGACAGATACCTGTGCCTCCACTGAATTATCATTGATTGAAAACTAAGATCTGTTGCTTTTAGCAGCAAAATATAAATCCTTCTCCTATAGTACACATCCTTGCCTCTTTTTTTCTGCCTACTGTAGAAAGCCGCACGTTGCCCACAGGATTTCACAAACATTGGTGTGAATTCTTTCAGCAAGTTGGACAACCGGTTTCAACACACTCTGGATACCAGGTACACTATGATTCAAAACACAAATGTGTAAGGATCTCTAAGAAGGAGATTAAAATCTGTTTAAACTACCGAGGTAGGTATGCTTTTCTTGGGAAATTAATGCATATTGCAATCTGAGGAACTGGGCATTTCTAAAAATCGCAGATGCATGTCCCTAAAACAAGATAATTTGATTGTTCTAGAGGCAACACATTCTGCTGAGAGACTGCATTCACCTGTTTTCTGTGGGGTGGGGTCATGTCCCCTGAGACAGAAGATGCAGTTTCTACATATTTACTATTTAGCAAGTGCTTCTGGTAAAAGATTACTCTTGTTTACACTTCTTAATTTGTTTTCTCTTTTGTTTGCTTGTTTTGTTCTCAAATGTTCCTCCTATTAATACATCTTCTGGAACTGCCTGGCCTACTTTAGGCTAAAAATAGTCCTTGTTGCTACTGCTGTAGCTCCACACAAGCCACATAACAACCACACCAGGAAAGAAAAACCCTCATGCCCTGTTGAGCTTCCCTGAAATGACAAGTGGGTCAGAAATCCATATGACCAAAAAGCAGGAGGAAAATGAATCCTGCCTTCCTTCTCTGCTTGTACTAGGCTTGGTGATGGTGCAAAGTGGGGGAAGAGCAGAAAGGTGTCTGTCTATGTGTTTTGGTTTCCCTCTGTCTCCTCTACACCCATCAAGGACAGTAGATGACACTTCACTTATGGAGAGATATGAAAGAAACAATGAAACTGCAGGGATGAGAAGCTGCAAGGAAGACATTTTCATATTGGTTTCCAAGCAATCGTTCTTGAAATTAAGGTAATTTGATTGATTTCTTGAATAAATAGCAATCTTTGGGTATGATCAGACCAATGCTTCTGATGCTGTTGCTCTGCTTAAGTGAACAGGGTTACCCTGTCTCCTTCATTGGGCTGTGTCTGTGCTCCTGGTGTCTTAGAAAGGAAAAGGGCATTGGATACACAAATGTTTTCCTCTGCATTGCAGCAGACAAAACTTAACACTTCTCAACCTTGAGTGAAAATCTTTACTTGTCTGGTTGTGCTCCTAGGTTCATGTGGCCAGTGATGCATACTGGTGAGACACAAACAGTCTTACTGGCCTTACTGGTGATCTCTGGCTGATAATGAAATGCGGGAGTGAAGAATACCCAAAAATGCTTCTGCAGCTACCTTGGCAACTGAGGAATGAAACTCTATTGCTCCACAGATAAAAATTGTGTTTCTATGATTTACTCCAGCTTGTGGGTGCTATTTTTTTTCCATTTTACACTTAAGGCATATTGGCAAGAGCATGTCACACGCTTGTTGGAAGCCAGGACTGCGCTCATTTGCAGTAGAAAATCCCCTGGGTCACATTTTTCTTTGCCCTGCCAGCTAGGAATCTAGCTTGAATATAGTTGGGGTGGTACCATCCTCAGTTATAGTAACACATCTGGGACTTGGAGGCAAATCTAAGCCTAACACAGAGAAAGCACAAGCTATTCTATGTTCTCACTGATCTCATAAGGCAGTTTGTTGAGGACAAAGTTATGTCGGGTACCATGAATTCAGGGTGTCCCAGCAGCTCCTGCACAGCAGGATCTGCTCAGGTGGATGGGGGGGGGTGGGTGGGTGCACGGGTGGTTTTTGAGTTGGGGCCCAAACGGCGTTGGTCAGCAGTCCTGCCTGGTACCCCTGGAAGGGGGCATGCCAGCATTGCCAAGATCTGGACCAGGATCTACATCCCACTCTGCTGCCATTGATAACCCCTCTAACTCAGCGCATCCCCAGGGTTTTGAGGCATCAACACCGCTACGGGTCACCCAGACCCCATCCTTCTGTTCCTTGGTTGATTTTCTGCTCCCTCCCTTTTCGGGTGGTGGAGTCCCGCCCGCGGTGATGCCGCAGGGCGAAGTCGCAGGAGCAGCGTGATGCTCGCGGTGGGACCGGCGTTGGAGCAGCCGGGAGACCCTCCAACCCCCGCCAGGCACTGCCGACTGCAGGTAGCGATGTCCCCAGGCGGCGGACTCGGCCCCGGCCCTCAAGGAAGGAACCCGGCTCCAGGCCCCAGGGAGGGAACACCCTGGGAGAAAGGGGCCGAGCGCGGGGAACCGCGGCGGCTCGGAGGGTCCCGCTCCCCCCTCCCCTGCATTCCGCCCGCCCCTCCCCGCCGGCCCCTGTCCCCTCCCTCCGCCCCGCCGCCGGGAGGGGGCTGGAGCCGGGTCCGGCGCCCGGGGAAGCAGAGGAGGAGAGGCGGGCGGTGGGGAGGGAGCTGCGCCGGCTTCTCCTGCGGGCAGCGCCAGGGGGAATCGGGGTGGGAAGGGGGGCAAGGAGGACGAGGCAGCAGAGGAGGCGGGCGGCGCAGAGAGGGAGTCCCGGAGCCGGCCCTCCCCGCCGCGGCGGAGGGCGGACCACGATGCCCAGCCGGGGGGCGCTGCCCGCCCGCCCGCCCGGACACCGCCGCCCGTAGCGGGGCCGCCGCAGCGCGGGGTGAGCGGAGCCGGGGGGCGCGGGGGTTGCCCGTGCGGGGCCGGGGGGGCTGCGGCGGGCGGCGGGAGCCGGGGCGAGGCGAGGCGGCGGCTTCCCCGCTTCGCGTTGCAGAGCGGGCCGGGATGCGGGATGCGGTGGGTCGGTGTCGGGGGTGGCGGAAGCGGCGCGGAGACATCGCCACGGGGTGCGCTGCTCCTCTCGGGGGTGGGGGGCCCTTTTCTCGCGGCAGGTGCCGGCTGGCCCTTCGCCCTCCCTTCTCCACGGGACTCCCCCCGGGAACACCCCTGGGAACACTTCGGAAAGAGGGTCGGTGGCCGCCGGCTGTGCCCCCTCTTTGCGGCGGGGCCGCGCGGGTGGGCTGCGGTGAGGGAGGGGGCTGCGGCGGCCACAGGGCATGATGGACGCGCCGCATGCGGGGAGAGAGGCTTTGGAGCAGAGATGCTAAAATGTCACCGCGTGCGATGTCCCTGTCAGGTCTGGATGCTTTGAGCGACCGCCCGCCACTGGAGTCTTTCTGCATCTCTGGAAAACCCCGGTGGTTCGGGAAGGAGAGAAATGCAGACGTTTTGATCAGCTGTCATTGATAGCTTGCAGGTAGTGAGATGAGGTTTCCAAGCTCCGAGGTTGTACAGTAGTTCTCTGGCTCCTTGTAGATGAATACTTGAAAAATAAATGTGTCAGAGTAACAGCACTCGTCTTGCATGCTATGTGGTCTTTTGTGGGGCGTGAAGGCACCTAGTACAGAGCAGGGATTCCAGCTGACATCCCCCGTGCTTCAAATGAGATGGGTATGGTGAGAGAAAAGAGAGATCATGGCTTTGTGTACAGATTTCTGCCTGTTTCTATTCGGTCATAACACCAAGTTTTTTTAAAAACGTGTCATTTGAGTACAATGGGCTTTTGTGCTTGATTTGAGGAGGGTTTCTGGACAAGTTACTGTAGAAGGGGTTACCTCTGAGGTGGAGGCTACTTGGTATGATTCCCCTCAGCCTTTGCATTTCAGGATCCTGTTTAGTTTGAGGACATTGCTGTGGCCTCACTCTTTTTTAAGTCATCTCCCTGCTCTCAGGTCTGATTTTTGGGTTGGCTATCTCTAAAAATAAAGACTGGTAAGACCTTAGGGGAAGGCCTTTATGCATCTGTCCACAAGTAACTTTGAATGTGCTGTACAGGAGGAGAATCTGCTTTTGAGGCTTGACACAGGAGAGGAAAAAGGACAAAATTTACATCGCCTAGGGATCTGTCAAGTACGGGAGCTATGACAACAGCTCTCTACTACTCTCCCTTATTTATTTGTATTCCTTCCTCTCCTCCAACTTTCATTGCTAGCTCTCATGTGGCGTATTTCAATGTTGGCTTATGCCCACTCTGAGTGGAAAACCAGTGATGCTGAAAAACATGCTAAACCAATGTGTAACAAGAATGATATTCAGTACTATGTCTCCTTTGATGGCGCATGTGAACTTGTTTCTATAGAGACTTACTGGCTAGCCATTGGTGCTTATTAACCTATTTCAACATACACAACAAAGATCATGTTTGTTTTTTTTTTTTTTTTCTTCTGATTGATGAGACATCGGAGGAGAGAAAGACCTGGTGGGGAAGAGTATCCTTAATTCCTGAGCCATGGAGTCACATCTGTTCAGTTACAGATGTGCTTGTTCTGTAGGTGTGTAATTGGAGACGTATTTTGACTGGATTGAGAGAGTTCAGTAGCAGAAGAAGGAGATTTTTGAATTTGCAATTGCTTTATACCTTTTTTTTTTTGTAATACTGTACCTGAATTTTCTTTGAAAGCTGTGGTCATCATGAAAAATCTTGATTTTTTTTTTCTTTGCTTAGTCTTCCCTGCCTCTTTGTTCAATGCTAGGAGTCTGCCTACCATTGCACTTTGTTGTTTTTAGGGTTTTTTAAAATTGGCAAACATTTCCATAATTATTACTTCTATCAGATAATATGCTGAACTGATTAGCCTATTTTCTAGTGCTCTAATTTTTCTTGTTAATAGTTTCTGCAGCCTCAAATATCTTGCAGTTCTGTGGGTAATACAACAGCATGATAGAGGTGTGTTTTTCCAGTTGTGTTCAGGAAGAGCTAATGTGAATATCACTTTGGGATTTTATTGTGGAATTATCACTTATTGTGGAACTAGGCCCTCAATATATGCAAAATTGTCTAATGGAAAACAGCTACCTATCGTCAGTGCTTGAAAAAAGCATTCCTTTAATCCACTCATGCTGTCCAATGTGTACTGATTGAAGTTATGGAGAAAGACAAACTTTTTAAGTTGGTGACTCTTTAGGAGTAAGATCTGCCTTCAACATTATTTTTCCCCATTGTTGTTTCCTGAAAATAAAGATAGCACAAAAACAAATTCTGTAGTGCTGATGCCAGAAGCCTTTGTGAGCCTGTCTTTTCTCTCTCTAACTGGTTTGTGCCCAGAAAATCTGCGATACGTGGTCAGTTCTCCACTTATTTTCACACAAGGGTGCTAAAATCAGCTGTGCTACCTTGTTCTGAGTGACTGAAATCAGAGTGGTTATTTCTTAGCAAGTGAGAACACCCCGGGTTATGACAGCTTTTGAAGCCTTTGCTGTGTCTTTAGTCTGTTGCTGTGTCTTTAGTCCATTCCTTCCCAGGTGAGATTCCCATGTGAATTAAATCAGTTCAGTTTTTGTTCCGTCACTCTGGTTGGCAGCTGAGAGATTAGTTCTCCTGAAATTGCTGCATGGTGTCTGCTGTGGCTGTGACTGGTTGTTGGTGACGCTCGGTGCTTTGAAGTTCCCAACTCTGGAGGATGGCTTGATGTTACATTGAAACCTGCAGATTTAGCCCTATACTATTCCCAGGACATATTTTCTTTATTTTTTCATGTGTCTTTTTTGTTTGTTTATTTGTTTTTATTTTGTTTGGTTTTAATCTGATGACAGAAAAGACAATGCAAACATCAATCTGCAAGCCCAGTTCTTCTCTGAAGAGCACCCAAAGCTCTTGGGGTTTTTAACTGGTAGACGTTTGGACAGGGCATAAACACAAAAATAATGACCAACATGTTTATTGCTACTGCTGTGTGAAGTTGGTGCCGCAGCTTGCTCACATGTCCTCTCTCACATATTTAGGTATTGTTTGCTGGGTTTGCATATCCAGAGTGAAACTTGCTTTTCAGTGGTGCTTTTCAGAAAATGCTGCTTGGCAGCAGCTGAGAGACCCATTGTGAGTGGCATTGTTGTTCATGATGCATGTCCTGATTCCGAAAATCTGGTGCTTTTGTTACAATTGTGCTCCCACCGACATCTATTGGATGGAATGAGTAGGGGTTGAAGAGGAGAGGCTACAGAATCAGTAGCTACTTTTAGTAATCATTAGCTGGGTTGTTTTATATGGGCCCAACATTCACTCTTTTTCTCCCTTTTTGGAAAATCTGCTTTATTGGTGGTGTGTACCCTGTGCACTGTCAAAACAGTGCTGAATAGCCTGCCTGTGTTGTAAATAATCAGACCTTCTTGTAAGAGTATGTAGTGACAGGACAAGGGGGAATGGCTTCAGACTGAAAGAGAGTAGGTTTATATTAGAAATTAGAAAAAAATCTTTATTGTGGGAGTGATGAGGCACTGGAACAGGTTGTCTAGAGCAGTTGTAGCTGCCCCATCCCTGGAAGTGTTCAAAGCCAGGTTGGATGGGACCCTGAGCAGCCTGGTCTAGTGGAAGGTGTCTCTGCCTGTGGCAGGGGCGTTGGAACGAGGTGATCTTTAAGGTCCCTTCCAACCAAACTGTTCTATGATTCTATGAATCATCTGGGGGCAATTACACACAGTCCTAGGGAATTGAGGGCAGTGTCATTCTTATGGTAGTCTTTGTTGTGCTGCTTTTTTTTCCTAATAAGCAAGTGGGTTGATGTTTGTTCATCCTTTTGAAGTACAAGATAACTTTCCTTACCCAAGTGGGTTTCTGTGTTTTATTTCAAAAGGGTTGAACTTTGTTAGTGTGGGATATAGGATCCCAGAACAGTGTCTGGAATGTGTTGTGCAGCTTCCAAACTTTCTGGTTATACTGAAAATCATATGGGAGTGATTGAGGATATAATTAGTCTGACCGGGGTGGCCACAGGCAGAGGAGTGAGGACAGAATGGGCTTACACATATAAGACAGTGTTTTGATCCATTTTTCTGAAGGATTCATGCTGCATTATTCTCGTATCTTAACCAGAATGAGAATTAGCTTGAGGGCAGATCCATGTGCAGAGATGTGCTGATCATTCATTTACCATGTCCTCTAGGAATCTGAGGATCAGCATAAATTATAAAGGCACGCTGCTTGTTGCCAAATGACAGAATTGTGTCTGCCAGATAGAGATTTAAAGTTTTCTGTGGGCTTGGACATCCTTTGAATTTGGAGTAAGGCTTCTGCTTTTCTTGTTTTAGAGGTGTCACTGGAATTCATGACCATACAGGTCAGTCACGTTGCCACACTGCCACGTATTCTCTACTTCTTTAAGCCATTTTTTAAATAGCCTTGACAATACATGGCTCCTTTGATTTTTATTTTCTCTTTGTTGTTCTCTAGCAAGTGGAAGGCTGCTCCTTTGCTCAGAAAATTTGTCTCATGGAGGAGCAACATTTACAGTTAATGGCTCTTGCTGTTGATGACCAAGGTTTTGTAGAAATCATGGCAAATGCCTGTGAGACACTAATATTTTTGGCAGCTCTAAGGTCACCAATTTTAAAATTGAACTCAGCACAGTTGCAAAATTGAGCTTCATTCCTAAGCCTGTCTGAGGACAAATGATGTGTAAGTCTAAAGAAATATGTCTGAATCTCATCCTGGTTGTCCCTGAATGCCTGCTTAGAGCTTGTCAAAGCTCACGTTTCTAGAGAACCTGAGAGTTGACCCTTGTAGAAGAGCTGCCCTATTCAGTAACTTAAACAGGAACATGAAATTGCAGTGTGAATTTTCATAGATGTTTCTTGTGCTGCTTTTTACTGATTACTTGAGGCTCCAGT